CCTTCTGTAACCCTGTGCAGTGTTTTGACTGTGTGACTCTGTCAGCTCGTTCATGCATCCGTTCCGCTGCGGACGGACACGTGTGTTTGGGGTGCCTCTGAGTAAAGCTGCCGAGAGCACACTCGCACGTGTCTGCGGTGGACACGTGTGTCTGCAGAAGTGTGTGGCCGTGTGTGCACTCCCCTCCGCGGCTCACAGAAAGGTCACGTCTCTCACAGGCCTTGCAAAGCACCGACGCTGCTGGGGCCTCAGCAGACGTTCAGTCCCGAGGCGGGCGGGCTGGAGGGCGAGGGGGGCACCACCAGCTCTGCAGGGGGCGCTGGGAAGCCACGATATGGAACTGCCGGTGTCTCCCAGCCAGGTGACCCCCCAAGCCTGCCTGCACTGGGTGTCCTCGCCGGGGATGTGCCCACCCCTCCCGCCCGGGGAAGAGGCAACGAGCCCCGGCGGCCGACGCTAAGCTCAGCTCTGAGTGTCTTCTGTATCTCAGCAATCGCTCATTTCTCCTGCGGCCTTTTCTGTCTCCCGCTAACACAGGACAGGCCCCGCCCACAGGCATGTTCACCGGCTCACATGGTTTCAGTATTTAAACTAGCTTTCCTTTAAATTTAAGTCCAGCCAAGAGCTGACACTGCAGGTGGGTTACCACCGTGCCCAGACACGGGTCCCCTGGGCACTCGGGGAGGTCGGGCGGGGCCTGCCACCTCTGACCACGTGCAGCCTGTACCCGATCCCCCCACAGGGCACTCAAGACAGGCTCGTGTGGACGTGAGCCACCACGGGAAAGGCTGAGAAGCAAGAGCAGCAGCCACCTGTTACAGATTGGGATCTCATGGAAATCTAGGTTCCTGGTCTTCCCTGAAAATTGACGGGACCCGCCAACACGCCCTGGCCCACGTGCCAGCTTAACCTGTGGCATGGGAGCCAGTGACCTCCAAGCTGGGGAGACACAGAAAGGAATCCTTCCTGCTCCTCTGGGCGCCCCCCTCACAGGAGCCAAGGCCTGCGGGGGGCCTGTCCCTCCCAGCACCCATTCTTCCGGGCCTTACTGAGGTGGCGTCCACAGAGTCCTCCTCCTCCGCCTCCTCCCGGCCGTCTTCAATCTCCTCCATCACCGCGGCCTTGGCCTCGGCCACCAGCTCCCGCAGAGCCTTGTTACTGGTGACGCCGCTGACGAAGGGATGCTGCGGGGACAGGACACGGATTAGCCCACCTGGGCGCTGGGCGAGGGGCAGGCAGAGGCTGGGCGAGGAGGGCAGGCAGAGGCTGGGCGAGGAGGGCAGGCAGAGGCTGGGTGAGGAGGGCAGGCAGAGGCTGGGGTGATGTGACACCGGTCAGGGAGACCCAGGGGGG